TTACTCTATGAACTCATCCAATACTATAAAGTGTTCCATGTTAGGTCATGAGTCATAGCAAGTACAAGTGTGTGTTATAGCAATAACCTTACAATAGGAAGTGTTATAATAGTTGGTGATGAGGATACTTGAATACAAGCACAGTATAAATTAGCAACATTTATAACTGTAGTTATAATATTTAGAGACAAGGAACTGGAGTTATAATAGCTGATCACTAAAAACTTGAACTTAAGCACAGTATAACAAGCACCACATTATAACATTGGTGACCACATTTTTTCAAAATTCATGTGTGCAACAGGAGTTACAAGAATTTCAACCACATTGGTTTAAAAAAAAAAATTTCTTGCTGATATAGAGAAAATTCTGGCTTCAAGTTGAAATTCAACAGAAGCAACAACAACAAAATACCCAACAGTTGCTACAGTTGCAAAAACAACAAGAAAAGTTGTTGGAAGTAGTTTTTGAAGAATAATGCTTTAATGTCTCTTAGACAAGATGCAGTGCAAAACACCATATCAAAATTCTTATACAATCCTGATGACAGACTGACTTTTGCTGCATATTTTTGCAAACATAAGGAATATTTAGTTAGGAATGCAGTGGCTGGGAAGAAGATAAAAGAACCAGGTTGTTTTTAAGAAAAATAGTGCTAATAGAGTACAAAAAATACTGCAATTATATTTTACTGAGAAAACCAGGTGAAATAGGGGTTGAAGATACAGTACCCATTCTGATGAAAATTTTTAGTGACAAGTGCTCTCTGTTTCATGCTCATTGAAGGCGCATGAATTTAACTAAAAACGATGATCAAGATTTTGTCACATATGTGGGTACTGTCAACAGAGAATGGGAACAATTTAAACTAAAGGAAATGACTCCAGATATGTTCAAGGGATTAATTTTCATGCAAGGTCTAACAGCGGAAAAAGATGCTGAAGTACAAATGAAAATTTTAGCAAAGATTAAGCATAATAATAATGTAACACTACAGGAAATAGTGGATGATTGCGAAACAATGTATGAAGCAGGATTCTGAAAAATTTCAGTATAAAGAATGTGCATTGGTAAAAGCTAAGGAAAAATGCACAAAAAGGAATGTAAAACTTTGTTTCAGATGTGGAAAATTACATCTTGGGAAAGATTGTCTATGGAAAAATGCTGAACGCTATAACTGTGGTAAAAAAGAATATAGGAAACCACACTGCAGAACTAAACCAAGAAAAAATTTTGTAGGAAGAAATTAAGACACAATATTGTAACAGAAAAAATAGGTGCACAGAACAAAAGAAAACTTGCTAATGTGTAAATCAGTAATATTGGAGTAAAAATGTTACTAGTTACTGGTAGTGATATTTCAATAGTAAATGAAACCACATGGAAAGAAATTGGAAAAGCTGTATTAAAAAGGACTTACAAAGTCACAACTTCAGTTACTGATGAGAAATTATTTTGGGTGGGAAAATTAACATGTTATGTTTATTTTTGAAATAAGCAGTTAAAAACAAAAGTTTATGTTCTAAGAAATGTGATGAATCTATTTGGTATGGACTGGATGTAACTATTTGAACTGTGGGATTTGCCGATAAACGCTTATTGTAAAAATGTAAGTGTCCAAGCAACAAATTTAAAAAGTTATGGGGAAAAACTGAAGAAAGAATTAAAAAAATATTTTTTTGATTGTCTGTCTAAAGAACTGGGTTGGTGTTCAAAATTCAAGATGAATTTTTAAGTAAAAAATGTTCATCGCCGGTATTGAAACTGAAATGGAGCATACCATTCACAGCTTTAGAACAAGTAAATGAAGAGACTAGAAAGAATTGGTGTATTGCAGAAAGTAAACCATTTAGTATATGTAAAGAAAAAAAAGGACAAAATTTGTGTTTGTGCAGATTTCTCAACTGGATTAAATAGTTGTCTTGCAACACACAATTACTCATTACCAAGTCCAGAAGAAATTTTTTAAGTTGAATGGCAGAAAAATATTTTCAAAGCTGGATTAGTCTGAAGCATATTTACAAATTCAGATTGAAAATAAATGTTCTGAATTAACGACCATTAATACATTGGTACCTGTTTATTGAAGCTGTTGACATATTGTAAAGCTTGATTTATTTAATGTTGTTCTATGAGACCTTTAGCTATGAAAAATAATTGAATATAACAGGAGTGCCTTTTATATATAATTTTTAAGTACACAGAAATTTAAAAAATTTAAAAAAGTATTCTCCGTAATCTAATATTTTATTGAATTTTAGATATTTTCTGGCTTTAAATTTACTATAGTTACTGCTCTTATTTTCTGATAATGTTGTGTATAAAAATCCCTATCTACGAAAATTGGCATGTTTATATATATAAAAATAATTTACATTAGTCGGACTATTGTCCTCATCTTTGTCGCCATATTTGTCACAACGTTTCGGCCGTTGTACGCTCCGGCCTTCTTCAGGTGGTTGGAATTTCGAAGTGAACCCTTTATTTCGATCACTGGGGTAGACTGTTCTAGTTCCACATGCCATGTTTGATGAATTTCTGGGTATTATAAACCTAATGTTTTCAGAACCCTTTTTTGCCAGTGCTCATATTGCAATTTTGCTGTTATCATTGCATGTTTTTACCAGAGCTCATATTGCAACTTTGTTATCATTGCTTTTCTCTAGTACTCCTTATTACTGGTTCCCATATTGTATTTATTTCTATGCTTGGTCAGCTCAGGAGATTTTTGTGGCCTAGCATATGTGCTGATTCCTTAAGTTTACATATTTTCCAATGGTGTTCCCTGTCTATGATCTCAACATGATCCCACAGGGGACGATGATCTTCCTTCTCTCTCCATATGTGGTCAGCCATGCCTGATGAGGGCTGCTGCCATGTACCCAGGGTAGTTGTTACGTTGCAGGGTACTACTTATACTGTCCAATTCCTTATCTAACGTGTCTGGGTTACCACTTATGACTTTTGCTCGGTGTTATAAGCAACGGACGATCCCTTTCTTTACGCTGTATGGATGGTGGGAGTTGAAATTGAGGTACTGTCCGGTAAATGTTGGTTTACGGTATACGGATGTCTTGAGCCCATGCTCTGTTCGAGTTGCAATATGAGCTCTGGTAAAAACATGCAATGATAACAGCAAAATTGCAATATGAGCACTGGCAAAAAAGGGTTCTGAAAACATTAGGTTTATAATACCCAGAAATTCATCAAACATGGCATGTGGAACTAGAACAGTCTACCCCAGTGATCGAAATAAAGGGTTCACTTCGAAATTCCAACCACCTGAAGAAGGCCGGAGCGTACAACGGCCGAAACGTTGTGACAAATATGGCGACAAAGATGAGGACAATAGTCCGGCTAATGTAAATACTGTATATAAAAATAAATTCAAAATTCTTTTAAAAATGTTGGTGTTTGATGATTTGTACTAAGTTTTTCCATTTATGATTAGTAAATATAGTTTTTACTTAATAATAATGTCATCTAAAAATGTGAAATAAATACAGAATTTTAAAAGATTTAAAATATATTACTCTAATTATAATTAAAAAAAAATGAAAACAGTTCTTGTAAAAATTCATCGGAAAAATTTTTTTTCTTAAGACAATAGTGTCCTTAATATATCTTATAAAAGCAATTAAAAGCTTTTCTAATTGAATAATATCATAGTGTTATTGCATTTTTATTTTATGATTCAGAGCAGATTTTCTGTTTTTATCAAGTTTGACAAAAACAAATTGGTGATTTGGAGTCCTGTTTTTAACTAATATAAATATGAAGAGGGTGGAATTTTAAAAATATTTTCAGAAATGACACATTCATTGAATCAAAATTGGAATTGTAGGAAGGAATACACAATAATTTACCTTGTGATATATGTCAAAGAAAATGATGATTGAATAAATCTAAATGGAAATAAGGTTGGTTAACTTTTGTACTGAAAACTAAATTGAAAAATAAACTACAATTTTTATAACTGGCTTATGTAGACCATTTTCTAAATAGAAGGTATGTGGACAGATAGGTTCATCAACAGAATAACACAAATCTCAAATCAGCCAAAATCAGAATCTATGAATTAATTTTGTTCATTCTCCAATGCTGCAGTCATCATAATATACCCAGAGTGAAAATACATTTGCACAACTTGTTGCCAACTTTATATAGCTACATCGTCCTGCTACATTTAAAACATATGCCTTTTCTTTCACCAGCTTTAAACAGTCTGCAGCTATATTTGAACACATACATACATATTTACTTCCTCCTGGACTCTTTCTATTTCTTTCTCTTGTCTGCATTAGGACTTTTACACTTGAAATCTTGAAAATTCAACTTTCACTTTTATGCTTCTGTATTATTGAGTTGTATAAAGATTTATTTTGTATTTTTTAATATTCTGTGCATTTTCTTTTAATCATTACACAAGGCTGATATACACCCAAACCATATATAGTGATATATGGTGGGAATAGACGTTGTTGTAAGATAATCCACCATAAATCCTTTTAGTTGAAATATTTTAGTTGAATCAAAATTTGTACATCAGTAAAGGAAGAAAAGAAAGTTATGTAATGTATGAAAGTAAATACTATTTACAATTAAGTGAGTCTATCAGTAAATAAGTTTAGAATATGATGATAGTTTTACTCAATTTCAATCAAAAAAAGTGGTAATTATGATAAAAGGGGACAACAACAAATAAATATATATGTACTCATTAAAGTAAATTCACTTTACTTATCTTCAGAAATATTATCTTTTTAACAATCAATGTTTTATTTTATTTACCTATTTGGAGTGTTTGCTATTTAATGATATTTGATATGCTTTTTGTAATCCTCTGTTTGATAAATCAAAATTAACGTGTTTGATCAACATGATATACCTTAAAAATTAAGAATTCTATGTTAGTAATAGTTTGTCAACAAAAAATTTATATAATAGAAAAAACAAAACAAAAAACCCTTTAAATATTAACAAATCAAAAAGATACTTACTTTAAGAACTACAGAAGAATAACACGTTTCTGCTTGAGAGAATGGTCTTGGACCATTTGATTGAGCATTGATTATGTCATAACCAAAACTAGTCTCAGCCATGTCTACCATCAAGCTCTCTGCTTCATAATTAGCCTGAAAAATGAAACAAGACAAAGTAAATTCCATTATTACTTATTCTGAAAAAAAAAATTACAAATAGTTCTTATAATCAAAGATCAATTCATATAACAACATCAATTTTAATTGTTATAAGATGTAGGTTATTCAGTTTAGAATTCACAGTATAGAAACATTCAGATTGGCTATGTTATTTTGTATCAAGTTTCAACGTTTTTTTCAATAAAACATTTGATTTATGTAAAATCCTTGCATAATTATTTTGTCATCAACATATTTTCCTTGGCTTTCAATAACCATATAACTTTTGAGTAAATCATGAATTCTATGAGGAGAGGTTTTGATTCAATAAAGAAGACATTTTCACTATCTTCAAGTTGTAAGAATCAAAGAGTATTGTATGAAACAAACTAGGTGATAATCTGAAGGTGATGCTGCATGTGGAAGAAGTACTTCTTTCAAATACTGTACTGCCTTTTGAGATAGTGAGAATGGCTGTTGTCATGCAGCAAAATCACTGTCAGATTTCCTAACCCAGACAAAATTTTTCTTTTTTCAAAATTTTCTGCAATTCACCAGTTAAGTTTTGATGTCTTTAAAGACGTTTTTATGTGAGATTTTGAAAACCACCCAAATTAACATGCCATGGGGAGTTGTGCTTAACAGGGTAAGAGTTGAAATTCCAAACTGCAAAGACAGAAAGAACAAAGATTCTTCAATTTAGTGTTATCTTTTAGCATGACTGAGAAGATATAATGAAACAGTAAATCATGTTGTTTAGTGCATCACCAAAAACTCACAAAAAAGATCTATTGAATGGTTAAAGACCCACTTTAATGATGGACTTGACACTGCAATTAAATATATTCAACAGAAAAAAATAGTAAACTTTGCTATGAATACATAGTCATACTGGTTTATGTGGTAATATTTTACATTTATTTGAGGAATTCAAGAGTTATATTTTCCTTGTGGATTTCATGTAGAAAATCAATTTTCAATTATCTAAATAAAAGATATTCAGTAATATGTGAATATTTCTGCTTAAATCTGTGATAACATGAACAGTTCAGAGGCAAGAAGTTGATTTTGTGTTCTGCATATTAAAAGAAAAAAAAAACAACAGTGAGTTTCAAAGACAGAAAATTTTTTAATATTTTTTATTCCTCTTTAATTAAAACTATCAATATTTTTTAATCAATCATTATTTCTGCATTCTACATAGAAAAAGATAAATATCTTTTGAACATTTCATATAATTTTATTTCATTTTTTAATCTACATACAATTTTCCAAATACCAGGATGTAAACAAAAGAATTTTGCCTACCACACAGTCACCATATTGGTTCTTGAAAATTACAGGTGGCTGAAAATATTTGAACAGCAACATAGACATAAGCTTTGGATAGTTTATCCACAATATTTGATCCTTATTCAATACCTTATTTGAAAATTGGAAAATACAATAAAAAATTAAACAGACACACATTGTCATTTCTTTTATTAATCAAACTTATTTGGATGAATATGTTCTGCTTAAATATACATCATACAGGGATGAGTTTAGCCTAAAACAGGGATAGGCAAAAATTGTCCTGGTGGATCGCTTAAAAAAGAGGGCATTGCAGCAATCTTTTTAGAATTTGCAAAATTTGTTTTTTATTTGTAAAAAGTAATATTAATGTAGACCCTTTAAAAATTGATAAAAATAAACAAAAAACTTTAAAATCAAATCTTTTTATTGACAAATAACATAGATTATGATGACTAGTATTATTAGCAATGATACATTGCAGTAGAACATTTTCATAAAAGAAATGAAAACATTACAACATTAGTAGCTTAGAATATGTTGCGGAAAAAATAATATTGCTGTATTACTGTATAAAAATAAAAAGCTTTTTCATTAAATCAAAATAAATATTGAAACAAAAAAAAAAAAAGATATGTACAGTAAATGTCAAAATAATTATGAACATTTGTTGAAATTACTTTCATCTACATCTTTTCTTTGAAAATATATCTACATTAGGGATAGAGTCAAATGTTTTTCTTGAAAAATCCCAACGACCACCTTATTAAGAAAAACGTAACATTTTTCATTGTTAGAAAAAAAAATTTTTTTTGAAGTTGAAGGCAAAAATTGTGGTGGACATGGCTTGTTTTTTAAGGGTGTGGTCTAAAACTCATCCCCGATCATTTATTGCAAATATCATTTTTCTATTTCTCTGACACACATCCATACATATACACAAGATATTTTACCAAAAATTATCAATTTCTTCCTGTGTTTTACATATCTTAGCTTTCAGATCTTAAAGGACAGAAAAAAAAAATACTGTTAATTTCGTATAAGTATTTCTTTTATTTCACTTTCAATTAGTTAAAAACCGCATCGGGTTTCCTAAGTCTTCATATGAGATAGATCTTTTTTTAGCACGTTGTAAATTGTATCATTTTGACTAATCAGAAGATCCGCAGTAATTAAGAAATGTAATTTTGTGTTTATAATCGGGCAGTAATTATAAAGTATGGAAGACCAACCAGAATACAATTAAGTTGTGCTATTTGAGTTAAGCATTGTTCTCCACTGTTAAGGCCTTTACTTTTGCGAAACATGTGTGGAGAAGTTAATTTGATTTTTCAATTTCAACTGAGAAGGGTACCTACGAGTATCAGTATCATCTTATGAAATTTATATGGTCTTATTTTTATATTAATCTCAGTTGTGACATTTTTCCATAAATGAAATATCAAAATTAATAATAAAATGAATGGAAATACAAATAACAGTAAAATGTAGTAAATGTACATAAAATTATAGTATTTTAGGTACACTTCTGATAAAATTTCATAAGAAAAGTACCTATAAATTAGATACTTTTCTTATGAAATTTAATCTCACTCTTAACAGTCTTATTTTAATTTCTTTATAATATATTTTCCATAAAGCATCGTAAATGTAAAGGTGAAAGCTAAGTAGAAAAAAAAAAAAATTAGAGTTATTCCTTAAAAATAACGAGGTAAATAATTTGTTCACTTAAATGTAAATCATTTCACTTTTCTAGAACAAATTATCCTCACAGAATCCGTCAATATGTCATTTATCACCTGTCAAATGATGCGAAAGTTTATGACCTGCTTTGTTTTATTTTCAAATTACATATTTCGGCGCAGAAGCTAAGTTAAGCTTGGTTCAAAATATTTTAAATAAACATTATAATTTCTGATTTTCTTTGAATAAGTTTTGAAAAAATGATAATTGATATTTAAAAGAATTTCAAAGTGAGATTTCAAGTTTTTTCTATAAAATGTAAAAAAATGGTCAATTTTGCTGACTCAGAAAAAAAAAGATTTTTAACGAAAATTTTGGATGTGCTAGGAACGATTAAAAAATGTAAAAAAATACCCCCAAAATACCTTGATCTTTCCTCTTAATAATAACATAAACATTTAGACGATAAAATTTTGTTTTTGTCAAGTTTGGCATCTTTTTCATCATGCTATGCTCTTTTTTTAGCAATCTCGTGGAGGTATCTATGTAATCTGTGGAGAGAATGTATTCTCCTGAGAGCAATTTTTCATTAAAAGAGTTAAAAGCATATATCTGGTTCCCCAAATATTTTTCTATGAAAGAGCATAAAAAAAATTTGCATCAAGGAATACAGGCTACTTACCTTATAGTTTGTAGTTGTGCACTCACACACACATTAGCAAGTAATTTGCAATAAACTTTTTAAGAGGTCTGAGGCTTATTCTCAAGTAATGTCAACAGAGCTAATATTTCTGAATTTAATAATAATAAATATGCTGTAGAATAAACTCAAAATATTACAAGATCACATGAGCAATAATACACATTTCGAGATATTTTGCACAGAAAAAAAAAAAAAATATGTAATATTGTCCAAAAGACTTTGGCAACTTTAGACTATTGTAAATTTCTAATAATTGCCAGTTCATACTCTTAGGTGGTTAATAATTGGAGTGGTGTCAGAATTTTTCAATATGTAATAATAAAAGGGGGAGGTTAAAGAATCATTTAAAGGCTAAAAAAATGTAGAATTCTAGTAAAGAAACTTTTTTCAGAACCACTACTGTAACATCTAACCTTATCCCTATGACTAATTGCAATTTCTGATAAGAATGCAAATGATACCTCTCACAACTTTAATTAATATGCAAAAAGAACACATACAAATTAAATATTACATAACTTACATAAAAATCTAAATTACATTTGTGCTTGTCATCTTATGAGAAAGTGCAAAAATTCATGAAGAAGAGGTTGGTATCAAACCTAAAAAATAAAACTGATTTATACATCTTATTCAAACAATCAGAATGGCATGCATGTAAAACCTTGAACAAACTATAATAATTAATGTTTCCTATTTGAGCTCTGGGTGGAAAAGTGTGATATTAATAAATAGGGTGGTTGAAATAAGCTTGTGAGGAGTCCAGAAAATCTCATAAGAAAAAAAAAGATATCCACCTTTCTATTAGGCATCCAAGAGTAAGTAGATGACCCTATTGAAATCATTTCCATATCTAATGTTACAGAATGAGAGAGAAAGATGCAAGGTGACCCCCACAAATGTCCATACAAAGGTTTTCAGCCACTTGGCCATTTTGGTTTTCACTTTTTGCCCACATGGAAATATTGTTTTTGCAACAGCACATGGTGAAAAGTTCTAAAGAAACAAGCTAGTGAAGAATAGCTAATGAACTTTCATGAAGTAACATTTCAAAAATCATTTAAAAAGTTTCAAGGTACTGGAAATGTTTCAGACCAACCAAGATGTGGCCACCTTGGAAAGTTGCATAGGATGGTATGGAAACAGATCAGGACTGTAAACGTTCAACCAAAAATACTTCAAAACAAATTATAGATGAGTGCAACTCTTCCAATTTGGTACCACTAAACACATTCTTCAAGAACAAGAACTGTGGCATGCAGATGCTTGGATCACATTCAATGATAAAACTCAGATGGAACTGCCTTCTAATGAGTAATAACAATACACAGAAACATTGCAAGAAATTAGTTCATGTTGCATAGAAACAAAAATCTATAACTAATATTTGTATGATTTCCATCTAGGTGGATTTTTTGGTAAATGTTTTATATGTGCAAAAATATTAGTAAATTTACCATTCTGCACACTAAAATGACCTCATTGCTTGTTGCTAGTAGGATAAATTTTGGCACAAATTCCCAAATGCAGCTATCATAACTCTTTACAAGCTACCTACTCCATGAGAATAAATGAGAGCTTTTGTTAAAAACACAAATTTGAAAACCTGTTATGCGAAGCACTTTATTATATGGTGCTGAATTGTGGTTTATATACAGCCATCACCAATGCTAAAATGAACACTTATCAGCTCTATCACCATACAATTTTCAATGTGAACATTAGCAACTTTAGTAATAAAGCCCTCAAGATTAAAAAAGTCACAAACAGGGTGATCATGCAATCCAAAATATATCTACCTAAGACACATTACATTTTTACTTAATGACTCTAGCCTAATTTCCATCAGAAGTCTTTGAGAAGCTTGTCTTAGGCATACCTTTGTCGGAGTTAACTCCTCCTTTAGTACATTAACCCTTTCACCAGGGGTCGCTCTTCGCTGCTATAAATAGCCGCGGACCCTTCGCCTTTATCTCTTTTTCCTTCAGGCCTGTGCACCAACACCTTGAGGTAAATCTCTCCTTTTCATCAGGCTTTCAGCTTACAACCTCGAAATGTAGGCGCTAACAAGGGATAGCGTGGAAATCGCTAAAGCACAATACACACAATTTACATACAGAATATTCACATACACTTCATCCGTTGTACTGTTTCCATGTATTGTAACTTGTTATTAATATATATTTGTATATACATATATTATCGGTCTTGTGTTTTGTTTGCTTTCTTTGCCTTCTTCTTTGGACTTAATCAGAGTCCAACCTTTTTATGTAGTTGGGCCCGGCGAGCAGGATAATCTGAACCTTACATGCATTTCTTCTACATCTGACTTCTATCAACAACATAACAGCCACGGCCCCTCTACACCTTACAAGCCAGTTTGGCTGGAACAATTCTGGTTTGAAGGGTATGTCCTAGTGTTATTATTATCTATGTTATTTTTTTATGTTAGACATGAAGTTTATAAGATGCTGGGTTATGAAAACACTTTATTATATAAGGAACAGTTAGAGCATAGCAAAATGTAAGATAAGAGATGGATGAGAAAGTAAAGTATATATGAAATTTTTAAGTTGTTGATGACACTTTATCAGGACCCATCAATTGGAGTGATTGAATACAGTAATATACCATTATTAACACCAATACTGGTATGGACAACAGCAAAAATTCCAGACCCCCTGTGTTTATAAAAGGTTACATCTTTTGAAAGAAAAGTTGTCATTTAAAGCTGACATATTTCATTTTATGTAATATTTCATAAAATATATCTTACTTCATTTTAGAATGGGAGCTATTAAATAGCCAAAACCTTTGATTCATTATTCTTTTCCTTTTGCCATCTTTCAGGCAACTTCATAATTTTCTTCTCTGAGAAGATTTTATCTTTCTGAGTAAAGAACTGCTATAGGTGCATTTTGTAGTCTTCCATGAAATTGCTCATTTGAAGGTGCAACTTCCCAGTCAATTTTATCAGGTCACCAAAGAAATATATTGTTAAGCATTATTCTGATCCCCTCTTTTTTAAAAGTAGTTATAGGTCCTTTTCTGCCTTCTTTTGGTCTAGTTGGGTACAGTACTTGATCAAATTAATTGTTTATTTCTCTGAAAGATGCTCATAGAAGAATATTCCTTTTCAACACAACATATAGTATTGTGCCCTGTTTAACTAGACGGTCAGTCTAGTTAAAAAATAGTCAACTATAAATTAATTCTTATTTTACAATTGATGTTTCCATTGTAAACCATGTTGCCAGCACTAATTAGTATTTAAAACAACAAACCAAATTTTTCTTTCAATCTCCAATATGCAGTACTGTAAGTTAAGTATGTTGGCATCCCAGCTGAGAATTTTACTGCATAAATCTGTCAGAGATAAACGGATTATTCTGCATCTGTATTTCTTCTACGGGAAGATAAACTCTAAATATTGCTTGTTTAATGAAAGTTTTTTTTTTGTTTTTTTCACACTTCATAACTGAGCAAAATGTTGTTCACTATTTCGATATTTGTATTTTGGAGGAAAAATGCCGAATATTAAATATTTTGTTCATTACAATTACACTTTATTTTTTGTTGAATAAATTTTAAAAATATTATATTGTCCCCTTTAAACACATACTCATTTTATAGTACTCTTGCTTGAGTCAGAACATAATTTAATTTCCATTCATATATAATTTTTTTTTAATAGTGGTTTTCTATGTTAACATATGAAATTGGGTTTATTGTCCCTTAAAATTCCCATTAATGCCTAAATGAAAATCTAGTATTAATTATAAAAATTAAGATACAAAGGTTTCTAGAAAAAAGTACCAATATTAGTGATTTATAACCCAAAAGCCCACAGTCCCTAAAATGAGTGGGCTTACCGGACCCTTAGCGTAACATTAGGAAGCATGGGAACCATATGGTCATTTACTATCAATTTATTAATTTAACACTAACAGTAATTATTTTAATCTCATTTAACAGACACTAATTAAGGAAAAATATTTTATACTTACTATTGTAAAATATTCTTTAATGTTTTTCTTTAATAGGTGGCTGTTGTAAATAAGATTTAATTTACTGTTTGAATTAAGACGACCTTTGGATAGTGGTTATTCATTTCACTTGCTCCACAAATAAAAAGCGTTGTAAAAAATGGATAGACATCCACATTTTTATAGACTATCACAATTTGTTCTAAAAATATATTTTCGTTACGATTAAGTAGCAAATCGCACTCGAAAATAAGGACCAGCTGTTTTTGTTTTCTTTTTTTCACTGATGTAGAAGCCACACATCAAAGCAAGCTGATGCAAATGATTTTCAGCATACAAATATTTTTGCGTTTGATTGGCACTTTTAAAATAAAACGAAAGTGCATATACTGAAACATTTCTCTTCAATGTTAAATCGATTTCGATCAAAATTTTGGAAGTGCACTACAAACTAGAAGAGCTTCAATTCAGGCTTTTTGTTCATTTAAGATTAAGAAGTAGGAAATATTGTAAAACAAAATGAAATTGAAACAAAAATAAGCGTGTTGGTGTAGAAGAAAATTAAATGCAGTTCTTTTGTTATCTTTATTCTTGTTTAAAAGATATTTTTTAAGCGATGTAATCGAACGTACCAAGCTGGTGAGTAAAGGTTAACAGAGTGTTTTACTTTTTTTTTTAGTTAGGCAAAATACATAAACTACAACGTTCTAAAAGAAAGAACGATCCATAGTACTTGTACAACTCACCTGTGGGATATTGGGGATTGTAAATAGTGGGGTCCTAGCCCCATGACGAAATATAATCAGAGCTTTTTTAAGCACTAATCCAACAGGAAGTTGTTCTTCACTTAATCCGCTGTTATTAGATTCTCCTTCGTCCATGTTAAGCATAGAAGATGCACTCGACTGACCAAGCCAGCCGCCAGTTATGTTGTCGTTTTCTAAACGATGACAATTGCTACAAACGGCATCACTGTTCATCAGATTCAAATATTCCTGTGAAGTCATTATCAAGGTCAAACCCGTGTCAGAGCTAATATTAACAAATATTCTTTAGCTGTTGCTTCTACTATTACTAAGTATTGATATATTAAGCAGTAACTGTGTAAGAAGAAGTATGACGACTGCAATTCGTACCACGCTTAAAATGTCATACGGTCAATATAATTTTACTTTTTAAACTCTACTGTGTTTGATTTTTCGATCAAACAGCTAATATTGGGAGAATATCCAGTAATATAAAAGAGTTTTTAAGTAATATAGTCGAAAAGAAAATCACTCGAGATGTTTAAAAAAGAAAACAGCATTATTTCAGTTGGGCTACATCTAGAGTGACTTCCCTTGAATCCCTGAAAATTTAGTTCCTGCCTTCTTTCTATCCACTTGGTCAATTTTTAACGATAACACCATTATATAACAATATTTTTTCTTAGAGCTTTCCAACTTTTGCTTTTTTTCTTTTTCACCACCAGCAAGTGCACTTTTATGATACTAGAGACGAAATTTGGGTTAATTTTTTTATCTTCATAAGACAGAACAAAAATTGCTTAAACTCCATTAGGTCACTTAAAAAAAAAGCAGCATATCACGATGAAAAAAGGTCCATAAATCAACAGAAATAATTTTTTGTCTCAATATGTTTATGTTGTTATGAAGAGGAAAGACCAAAGTATTTTTGAAATATTTTTTGAAATTTTTACTCCTTTCTAGCACGTAGAAAATTTTGGTTAAAAATTTTTTTTTTTTTTACGACAGCGCGATAAGAGAAAAAAATGGTTTGTTTTGATTTTTGCAAGAATTTCCTAGGCTAACGTGTGTTTTCCTCGGGAGGAAAACACACGTTAATATAGGAAATTCTTGCAAAAATCAAATAATTGTCGGATTTTAATGAAACTTTCAGGACTTATTCAGAAATGAATGAAATTATTTTTGAATTATTTTTTTTTTTTTTTAGAAAATCTTGTTAAAAAGAGATTTTTTAAACATGTTTCCGCCCACTTACATATTTTCATGAAATTTTGAGAAATTAAATTTTTAAGCACGAGATTTGTTTTACTTTTATTAGTTATAAACTAGGACTCTTTATAGAAAGTAAATCACCAGTTTTTTTTGTAAAACAGTTCCCCGTTTCTTGGAAAATCTGCTCTGAATTATAAAAAAAATGTAAAAAAGTATGACATTAATAATTAATTAGAAAAGCTTTGACCTGCTTTTGTAAATACGTTTAAGGACATTATTTTGTGAAGAAATAAAATTTTTTCGATGAATTATGTATTTTTTCCATTTTTAAAATTTTTTTTTCATTAACTTCTTAATTACTTCAAAAATCGTTTAAAATTCTTTATTGCTTTTAAGCACGTAATGCAATGATAACGTTAATGAAAAAGTAAATTTACGAATCGAAATTTGAAAAGCACATAACAGTCGTTTGACCCCGAATATTTTAAAAATAATTAAAAAAAAAAATTATTGAAAAAAACGTTCATAATTTATACGTATGGAAATGTATATATGACATAATCCTTAAAAAATTTTAAACAATTATCTAATTAAGAAAGTATGAAATAAAAAATAGATATTACATAATTGATGAATAAAAATGTTAATATTTTAAAAGTACTAGTTAAAAACGAAAAACCGCGTTCGCTTACTTTGCAAAAATTGTCAATTTTGATCATCCATAGTAATCTGTGACCTCGTCACAATCGATTTCTTTGATAAATTCAGACACATCGTTAAGAAATGTTTGGATACAAATTTTTATGCTATAAGTAAGTACTGTTTGTTTCATATCAGATTAATTTAACTTTAAATTTTCTAATTTTACTCAAATAATGTGTCAAAAATATATAAATTTATTTTAGGAAGAAGTTTAAAAACAAAATTTTGTTTTTGTTTACAAATTTCTTAAAAATTTAAGAAAATGGCCGCTTTTAAGAAAATGAAACCAAAATCGAGCATATATTTGACATCCTTGTCTATATAATTTCTGTCTGAAAGACACCAGAATATGTTACTTACTGTAAGTAATAAATTTAATGCTTTAGCTTTCAATTAATAACAACATATTGAGACAAAACCTTGTTTTCGTTGATTTATGAGCCTTTTTTCATCGTGATATACTGCTTTTTTACGTGACCTAGTGTGGTTTCCTTTTGTATGGCCTTGTGTCAGACCACCGGACTCCCACGTACAAGCGTAGTTGATACTCTTTTAGGCTATCAACGGTTCTTGACAAGGTTAGCAACGGTAGAGAATGGACAAACACGAATGGTGTATGAAAGGCATAAGTTTACTTTAATAACAAACTGACTTGAAATTGTTTCACATCTTTATCTGTTGAGCCTAGGAGAAACAGTCTAAGCACTTTAATTGAGAATGGAGTTGACTTTCGTGGTGTTTCAGTAGTAGTATTTTCTCGTGTGGTCCGCATCGGTTTATTTGTGAATTATGGGCGGTATTGTTGGGACTTTTGGGTCATTTGATTTATCAGAAGGATTTTTGTTATTATCGGTTGCGTGTCTAACCGTGTCCCAAACAAATATACAAACAAGCGTGAGATTTCAAACAAGGAAAAAACGAGACATATATAGATCAAAACAATAAAGCATTTATATACAATTAAACATTTACAAACTGGAACAATATGTGTATTAATGCGTGCGTAAATTGTATGTGTTGCTGGAATGTTTGATGTCTCTGTGTCGTTATGTTTGCTATTTTCTTGTTTGTATCAAATATTGGAGTAATAAGATTTAAGAGTTCTTTTTGCAAAAGTTTGTCGAAGTAGTCTACCTTTGAACGTGTTTGTGTTTGTATCGTATTTCTTATTTTTGTAATGATTATAAATCAATATGTATAAGAAATTTAGTGGAAAGTTTCGAGAGTCGTTCGTTGAATGTTCAAAGTGAGTCAGTGAGTGTTCTTTGAAAAGCGCGGCAAGATTGTTTTTCCAAACGTCGTGGAGTATTTAGGCAATTGCTCGGTGAATTTGCTAGACTGACTGAATGGGGCTGGTAATTTTCTTTATCGTCTGGTCAGCGATGACTAAGACGGGAGTCGGTGAAATGTTACATCTTGAAGGTTGGTAATTACAGCTACTCTGCTGCTCCGCTTCCACTGAAAGGGGCTGTCTGCCTTTCCTTTATATAACACTTGGGTTTTCAAAAGTGGCTCAAGTCGTTTTGGCGCAATTCTTGTTTCAGAAGACGATTGACCAATGGAATTGCTTGGTTCGATTCTTGCCATTTCTATTGGTTGAGGTTTTTCTGTACGTAGGCGTACGATGTGGACTGTGCCTTTTTAAGGTTAGAGAAGGTTAGAATACTAGAAGAGTCCACAGTATTCTTGAAGAAAATGAGGTGTGTTTTGTGTGCTTCAAACTTATAAGAAGAAAATTTTTTGTGATGTCTGCCTGTGGAAGTAAAAGTCAGGCCTAATTTTGCCTAAGAATGGTTAAGCAAAGGCAGTAGAGATTAATTAAATGAGTCTTGTTCGCCTGTAATTGTGTCGTGTCCACCAAAATATCAAATACAATATTTATAAACCAATCACACTCAAGAAAACACTTACTGTTACATCTTAAAACACACTAATAAAATCATAGATTGCAAATCAGAATGTTTTGTTTGTTGTATTAGTTATCAACTGTTTCTATTCTTGTCGCTAAATTAAATTAATGTTTATTTGTTGAAACTACGTTGTCTTTTCTACTGAATTTTATTCCTTCAATGAAAAGCGTGTGATTATTCTAGACGGCCAAATTACGAGCGACTCTGTAACGATATTTTGTTAATGTATGGAATCCCGACACTCCAAATTTTAACATTCAACGAAAAACCGAGTAGAAGGATTCCTACAAATGGTGACCACGACTCTATTACCATGTGAAAACACGAAAGTTGGTAAATAGAACACACAAATACACGTATCTTAAAAAAAATAAATAAATTAATTAAAAAAAAATTGGAACAACAAAACACAAATAGCACGGAAGCTTCGTTGACAACAGTCACCCTAAATTTACCTGCATAACAACATTAAATCATGGTTTATCTAAATCCAGGCCATATTCAACGCGAAGAAAATTGTTTCGCAAAGAGCCCGATACTGTTATTTAGTAGAAAAAACTTCCAGCAGAAATTGTAGAAGTGACGGACTTACTGGAAACAATGCCAGAAGAAAACCTCTATGATACATTGAAAACGGCCATAATTAAACGAACTGGAATTTCGAATGAGACAATGCTACGCGATTTGTTTACCCGATTGGTACTAGGTGACCGGACTCCTTCCCAGTTATTAAGTCATATGAAGACTCTGTTAGGTACTAATGCCATGTCAGAAAATATTCTACGGAGATTGTGGTTGGACAAACTACCCAACACAATGACGCAAATTTAAGCACCCATGGCAGAGGAAACTGAACTGGAAAAACTTGCGGATTCTGCTGACCGGATCCATGTTGGTTTTAGAGACAGGGAGGTGAACCCATTGACACCGCAACGTACAAACCAACAACAAAACGAACAAATTGAGAAACTGCAAGCAACGGTTGCAAGATTAGCCAAACAGATGCAGTCTATCTTGAACCTACATCAACAACAACGAACTTCTCGTAATACTACCAGACCTAAGTACAGACGAAGGAGTAACAGCAGGAGTTTCAGCAATGATAGACGAAGACGAAACCTTGTGCCTTTGTAGACCCGGCATCGGAAAACTTAAATTCCAGCCAATAGAGACGACGATTGTTGCTGGACTCTCACAAAAAGGTCGTCTGTTCTATATCCTTAATAGAAATCACGGATATAATTTTTTAATAGACACCAGAGCCGAAGTGGGTGTTTTACAGCCGGATCCAAAGCAAAATTTAAAACCAGGACTCTACAAACTTCAAGCTGCTAACGGTATAAAAATTGAGACCTTTGGCGAGAAAGCAGTAACCATCGACACGCAGAAATCACTCAACCTTTTAAAAAC